TTAACATCAGCTACAAAAGCATCAGCATTAGTTTGTAGTTCTTCTTTACTTTCTAATGTTTTTTTGGTGATAAATTTATTTATTTTTCTAGATACTATTCTATGAGCTTTTTTAAATTTTAGTAACCAATTTTGAGAAGTCTTAAATCTTAATCTTCATGGCCAACAATTTTTTGAGCTTGCAATGCCCATTTCCGTATATCTCGATCATGCACTATCGTACCAGCTGCAATAGCAGCTTTTAAATTATCAAACGTGTATTGGCAAATTTGCGTATTTTTTTCTCGGTAAGTTCCATTTTTATTAATTGTTTTCGCCCAATGTTTAAGTTAACTTATAGATGAAACTTTTTTGAATCTATGTTGTACAGTATCCAGTTTTAAGTTTTTGTTTTTTCCGCTCCTCCAAAATTCTACGGCTCTTTGTTTATAATCAAATGTGATTTCTTCATCATCATTTGTGCACTGATTTGTTGGTGCAAAATCAGGATCAGGAAAGTGATGTTGAACTTCATCTTCGATTATTTTACTGATTTGTTAGTGCAAAATCAGGATCAGGAAAGTGATATTGAACTTCATTTTTGATTATTTTAGCATCAGTATCTTTATAATCTTCATGAAAATCTAACGTCTCTTCAACAATCATATCAATATTATTAAACTCATACACGGCATCTATTAATATTTCTTTCAACTTTTCTGACAATTTAATTTCTTTGAAATTAATCTTGCTATCTGGTATTTGTAAACTTTGAAAATATGCTAATAATAAATTCACTACGTTCAAAGGATTGATCTTCATGTTTTAATCTAAAACAAAATCAAGATATAAATACTCTTTATGCAGTTGAATAATTTTACAAAAGACAAAAGAAAACCTAGTCTATAGATAGAATTTGATCATACGTTTTTAACAGTTATATTTTACATGTTTACAAATCAAAATATTTGAATAAAATTAGATATGATAAGTGACATAAATACTTACGTAGTAGACAAAAACTTTTCTTCTTGTTATGTACTACATTTTTGTGTTCGGGAAATTTTTATGTAAATATAGAAATAAGTTTATTTATAAATCCAGCACTATAAAAAAACTTTAACTTTTTAAATACTTGACTTTTCTTCAACTACTATGAATAATGAAATATGTATCGGATGTCTTATTATCGTGAGGGGCGTAGATTTGATATAACTTATCTTCTTCGAGCCATTGATAAAACAAAATTGTAAATAAGATAAAGTGTACAGCAAAGTAAAGTACCAACAAAAAGTAAACTAAATCACAAGTGAATATTGAAAAAAGTAAACAGTTTATAAGTATAGAAATTGAGACTATAATAACTATTTATAACTATTAATATAATCAATTATTTTTTATAATTTCTTTTCTCATTGACAAATTGTAAATGATTAAAAAAGAAATAATAACTGTATTAAACTTCCACTTTTGAAATTAATAACTTGTTATTTTTCTTTATTACGAATTAACTTAACGTTTAAAAAATAATAACTATTATTATTACTCTTTTATACACAGCTATATGTAATACAATGCAACTTATATTTAAAAAAAAAACTGATACTATAACTGTTATTATTAATTTCGAAAAAACAAAATAGTTAATAATTATTTATAATATTTTTGTATTTTTTTTTTGTATTTATAATGAAAAGAAAAAAATAATTATTACATAAAATTTGTAATACTTGGGACATATTGTTATGCAGCATGAATGTTATTCAAGAAATACATTTATTTTTCGCTATTTATATAAGGTTAACCCGCATGTGTTTCAGTAAGGGTGGTTTATAAGGGTGGGGGTTTTGATAGGTTAAGGGTAGGTGTATAAGAGGTATGTTATACAGCTGGGATAACTCGCTTATGGTGTAAAATTCAATTATTTGAAGAAATAACAAGCGACTAAAGTTACTTTTCACAGGATTAGTGGGGTTAGCCTGCATGTGGTTCGGTAAGGGTGGTTTATGGGGGTTTGGTGGGTTAGAGGCAGGTTGGTTAGTTGAGGTAGCTCGCTCATGCATAGGATTAAATTATTTCAAGAAATAACAAACGACTAAACTTGTTTATCCCAGGGTTAGGTGGATTAATCTGCTGATAGTTTGACGTGGGTGGTTTCTAGGGGGTGAAACACCCCTTAAACATATTTTTTTTTAAATCCGGAAACACGTCAATTTAATTTTGGTATTTTCTCATTATCAGTGCGATTTTTAAATCACTCGAGCTGATTTACTATATTACATGTCGACATTACGACAAAGCTGTAAGGGAAAAGATGCCGACAAACAAAATTGTTAATATAAAAAAAATTCCCACAGGAACGACAGGGAACATCCAACCACTCGATGTTTATGGATTTCGTATCTGGAAAAACATCGTTCGACGTTTATCAGATCAAGTAATTTTGATGGACTATGGAATGAATCTACATTTAAGAAATAACATCATAAAAATGCAGTCTCTTGTCCATAACCAGCTTTTTTCACCAAGATATACAAATATTTTTAAATACGCTTGATATAAAAGCGACTACATTGCTGAGAAACCAGCTAAAACAGATAACCATGTTGATTTTAGTTTTGGAGATTCTTGCAATATACATTGCGAAGTAGAAGCATATAAAAATGTTGCTATAATACGGTGTGGTTGGTGTAAAAGATCATTATGTTTCAAACACTTTGTCGATGATTATCATTTCTGTAAGGAATTCGTTGAATGATACATTTTAATTTACCAATAAATGAAAAAAAGAAAAAGATGAAAATTATTATGAAAAATCAAATTAGACCTCGTGTTATTCTCGTGTTTATTTTTAAGAGATATTACTCGCCATTTTGGTACTATTAAAATAAAATGTATTACACATATTTTTATTTTTCATGAATTATGTTTGAGCTACAGATATATTTAATAAAAAAAAATGGGATACCCCGCGTACGGTGTAGAAATCAATTATTTTAAGAAAAAACAACTGATAAACTCAATTCTCCCAAAGTTAGGTCTATTAGCCTACATTTGGTTGGGTAAGGGTGGTTTATGGGGGTTTGGTGGGTTTGAGGCACGTTGGTTAGTTGAGGTAGCTCGCTCAGGCGTAGGATTAAATTATTTCAGGAAATAACAAACGACTTAACCTATGTTCCCAGGGTTGGGAGGTTTAGCCTGCTTGTGTTTCAGTAAGGGTGGTTTATAAGGGTGGGGGTTTTGATAGGTTAAGGGTAGGTGTATAAGAGGTATGTTATACAGCTGGGATAACTCGCTTATGGTGTAAAATTCAATTATTTGAAGAAATAACAAGCGACTAAAGTTGCTTTTCACAGGATTAGTGGGGTTAGCCTGCATGTGGTTCGGTAAGGGTGGTTTATGGGGGTTTGGTGGGTTAGAGGCAGGTTTGTTAGTTGAGGTAGCTCGCTCATGCATAGGATTAAATTATTTCAAGAAATAACAAACGACTAAACTTGTTTATCCCAGGGTTAGGTGGATTAACCTGCTGATAGTTTGACGGGCGTGGTTTCTAGGGGGTGAAACACCCCTTAAATATATTTTTTTTTAAATCCGGAAACACGTCAATTTAATTTTGGTATTTTCTCATTATCAGTGCTATTTTTAAATCACTCGAGCTGATTCCCGATATTACATGTCGTAAAACAGGACAAAAAATAGCGTATTTACCCCTATTAAAAAAGGGGTTGCAACCCTTCGGTATAAATGTTATGTCCTTAAAAGCGCCTTTTATAATAAATTTTTTAACGTTGAGTTTACTGAAAAATATTTATTTGATTCTGAGAAATATTAAAAAAACTGATTTTAGGGGTTCATTTTCAGGTTAGATTTCATCCGTTAAAAGCCGTTATGGGCCGATAAAAAAAAACACGTATCTAATTTTTTTTCAAGTACTACAACATATCCCAAAATCATTCAAATCGGTGAGGTCGGGTTGGGGTAGTTCCCTTGTAAGAGTGCTGATCTCATAGATCATGCACTTCAGATCTCTGATATAAGACCCACTGATCTGTGGCCTGCCTAATTTACCTACTTATTTCTTAATTTTCTTAGCCAATGATCTGGCTTGTTGATTTTTATTTAGGTTTTAGTTGTCTGGCCTTCTCCGCGGTCTTTTGTTGCTTACAATTTTCCTATTTTCGTCGCTGTTTTTATTAAAAGTAGTCATGTTTTCGCCTATGAGAATGGCCTTGTTGACTGCTACTACTTTTTTATTATATGTTTGGAGAATACTATTATAAACATAACTGTTACTAATAATTGGCTAATAATTTCTTTCTGAGTAGAGCAGAGTGTTGGTACGTCTGTTAACCTTAATGATCAAACGCTGAATAGATTGTAAAGTTTTACATGTTTAAATCATCGATTGGTTAAATGAAACATAAAAATTATTTTACTTTGGATCGAAAAAGATGCTAATATTCCAAACAACTAAATTTAAGAGTGCGAAAGGGTTCGATCAATAGATTTTATAAAATCGATTTACCTAAAAATTTGATGTTTGCACTCATGTAAACAATTGAAAAACAAATAAATAACATCTATTTAAAGATAGAGAATAGACGTTTATTATTTATATTTCGTTATTATAATAATTTCAGTATTAGTCCAAATATATCCAAAATTGTTAATGAATACGAATAATTCAGAAAAAGGTGTGAAACGAAATGTTGCAAATAATTTATTTATTTTTATTCCATCTGAAAAACCGTCCTCTACTCAAATCGACGAGTGGATTGTCTGTGATCAATTATTTCAACGTTTTTCGAATCATGTATTATTTTCTAAACCTATTTATTATGGTCATTAACGCCTATTAATAATTATAATTTGCACCTATATCTTATCACGAAAATAATTGTCTACTCTTTATCTAATGTGATATTTTTTAATAATAGAAAGAGATTCAAGTATAAATATGTATTATCAAACTGTTATTTCTGTCTTCCAATGTAATTAGTCATCCATTTTTTTTATTTTCAGCGCTTTTAAAGATTCGCGCTTCAATCCAATCACGAGAGATGAATTTTCCAGGCTACATGTAAGCGTATCTATATTAAGGCATTTTGAAGATGGAATAAATTATTTAGATTGGACTATTGGCCTCCACGGGATAAGAATTGAATTCCATAACGAAAAAGGCAATAGAAGAACAGCTACATATTTACCAGATGTTGCAGCTGAACAAGGTATATACGAATGCAATATAGCTTTGCTTTCAATTTTTATAAGACTTATAAACCACTTTTCAGTATTTCTTTAAATTAATAAGTTTTTCCCTCAAAAAAAGATTTGTTAATATTGTAAATTATATTTCTATTATATTTTAGAGGACGTATATTAATACTTCTGTATACGCTAATTTTTATGCAACGTTCCTGAGCAACTTTCATTTAAACTTTCTAAATAAATATTATCTTAAGAGAGTATCATGTAAGTACTTATTATCTCAATTATTTCCAGTGGTATTGATAGTCACTTATCGTCTAAATATCAATTGTGTTTGAGGTAATATCAGCTTTGTTAATATACGATTATAGTTTTGTAAAAATTATGATAAAAGGATGTCGTACCATAAATAATTAGAAAATTAATCTTTTTAATGAAATAATTCCGGTTCAGAATCTTTCACTTATTCTGTACGAAGCAAATTTCAATATATTTTTCTCGAAATAAAATTTTATAGTTTTTCATTATACATATATTGTAGACTCTATATTTTAATAATCCTAGAAAAAATAGTTCGATTGAGTTAAATATGATGACTAAGCCGGTAACTATAGATAATTACATACATTTCGTTAAAAATATGTCTTAACGCTATTTATTTGATTTATTATTTAAATTGTAGCGTGTGTATAAACTTTCTAAGAGTATCGTATAACATGTTTTATATCTAATATTGATCAATACCAATAACTATGCTGTTTCCTAGCATTCAGTTTAAATGCTACTTCACCCTGAAACTCAATGATCGACGAAAAATAAAAATTATTGTGTCTAGCGGCGGGTCGACATAAAAAAAAGACCAAGAAAAAACAGGCCACACACTTAGCTCATAAATTAAGATGAAAAATTGCGTACAGCTGAGAAAAGAAAATTTTTTCCGTGAACAGCAGTTTTCGTCTCGCGCATCTGGCAATTTTCGGAAGTTTGGAAATGCATCATAATAATCAGAGCGAGTTTACGACCGCGCCATCCGGAGTAGCCAGATTGCGAACATCTTTGTAAAATAGAAATCTGCAGCGCACATGTGCATCCTACCCATAATACCGTTATTTTATTTCAAATAATTTATTCTCAATTTTATTAATTTCTTTTAAATTAAGGGAAGCACATTTGCTTGCAGATCTCTTAAAAATATACGAGACTTATCTTTATTGGGCCGAAAGACTAACGCTCGCGAACAGTATTTTACAATGAATACTATCCGGTGAGACAGAGAGAGAGAGAGAGAGAGAAGATTCGAAATTTACCGCGAACTAACGCACGGCGCGAATAGAAAAAAATCGCTATCACGATTGACGAAATACCGAATGTATTTTGTCACGCAATAATGACGGGAGGTGCACCTACCCTTCGGTGCAATTACGGTGATCAGCCGTAATTGTTGATGAAATATATTAACTGCCGCTACCCTCCTATTTATCAACTGCGCTGCCTCAGTCTGCCTTTAATCTGCTGCAATACTGTTTCTGCACTGCTGCTACTTGCTGCTGCAATACCGTCGTTGCACTCACGCAAGTAATTGTCACAGAAAATCTTTACGGCGAAACACGGTGCAAAACAATATCGGCGGTAAACTCGTGTAAACAGCTGAGGCGTAATTGTTTATTCAAATGATCGCGCGCCCCCTCTCTCTCTCTTAATTATTTGTACTAACGCACGAGAAGCAGAATCGCGAACGGATCGATTAATTGAATCGACTACCGTTGCAATTCATTAAGATTTTTACTGCGAATTTTGTGTATTTATTCGTTAAATACGAGGTGTGATCAAAAAGTAAGGTGAATTTTGAAATTTAGCGGGCTACGTCCGTTCGATCTTCGACTTTTTTATTTGGTTATGTCGGTACACTCGTCTAGAACATACGTTCCAAATTTCTGCTTTGTAGTATGTTTGGTTTGTTTGTGAGAGGCATCAAGGTTAGAAGTGTTTTGCGTGCTCCACGATTTGCTGCTGTCTAAAAACATGGATCAAAGAGTTTGCATTAAATTTTGTGTGAAAAATGGAATCAAATGTTCCAAAACACTTGAAATGCTGAAAGTGGCATACGGTGAGTCTACTTTAAGCCAAAAAAATGTTTACAAGTGGTATAAACTCTTCCAAGAAGGCCGAGAAGACACCGACGACGAACCTCGTTCTGGACGCCCCAGCACATCAACAACTGATGAGAATGTTGAAGAAGTGAAGAAAATAGTGTTGGGAAATCGTCGAATTACCATTAGAGAAATTGCTGATGATATTGGCATCTCATTTGGTTCGTGCCAATCAATTTTGACGAGTGTTTTAGACATGAGACGTGTGTCAGCGAAGTTTGTTCCGAAATTGCTCAATTTCGACCAAAAGAAACGTCGCATGAGCATCGCCCAAGAGCTACTGAATGACGTCAACGATGATCCAGATTTACTCAACAGGGTTATAACAAGTGACGAAACATGGGTATACAGTTATGACGTCGAGACTAAGACTCAATCGTCCCAGTGGAGGCATTCTGGATCACCAAGACCAAAAAAAGCACGCCAAGTTCGATCAAATGTAAAGGTTTTGCTTACAGTTTTCTTTGACTGCAGGGGCGTGGTGCATCATGAGTTCTTGCCACAGGGTAGAACAGTAAATAAGGAATATTACCTGCAAGTTATGCGCAATTTGCGCGAAGCAATCCGCCAGAAACGTCCGAATTTGTGGAAAAATAAAAATTGGCTTTTGGACCATGATAACGCCCCTGCTCACACATCGTTGCTTGTGCGCGAATTTTTGGCTAAAACCAACACAGTAACGATGCCACAGGCACCGTATTCCCCAGATCTGGCCCCCTGTGACTTCTTCTTGTTCCCAAAACTGAAGAGGCCCATGAAAGGACGGCGTTTTGCCACGATTGAGGAGATAAAGACGGCATCGAAGGATGAACTAAACAAGATCACAAAAAATGATTTTTTGAAATGCTTTGAGGATTGGAAAAAGCGTTGGCACAAGTGCATTATATCCGAGGGGGATTACTTTGAAAGAGATAAAATAAAAATTGATGAATAAATAAATATTTTTTGAGAAAAATAAAAATTCACCTTACTTTTTGATCACACCTCGTACACTCAACTTTACGTTAGAAAATTTAAGAATGGCTTGAACGAAAGTTAATGACTATATTCATTATAATTAACTCTGATTTTTCAGTATTTCTTAGGGCTCTTTGGTAATCAATTAATAGTTAAGACTATTAAAATCTTGTTTGTTTTCAGATAAATATGATCCTTAACTTTTGTTCTGTACTTCAGTTTTATTGTAGATTAAATAATATTTTTGTAAAATTAGAGTACCATTCACACAATTGCATTTAGATAAAATTAGTTTATATAATTAAAGATGAAAATAATACATAGTGGGCCATTTGTGTGAAAGCCCAAAACACTTGAGTGAGGCCACTCCCGCACACTCCGCCCCCGGCCAATTAGGGTTCGAATTTCGCTTACGCTTGAGACACTCCCCAAATTTTCCAACCAATTAAATCAAGAAAGTTTAAGTTCTTCCTGCCCAAAAATGACAAGGGTTTTAGAGTGGGAGTCTCTTGCGAAAAGCATAAACGGAAGCTCTTTAAGAAAATTAGGCAGTTGTTTTTTCCAGTTCGTTTAGATTTTTCTAGTTTCTCCAATTCGCTCAGTTCGTGCAATTTTTTCGAATTTGTTTAATTCGTTTAAGTTTGTTCAAGTTTTTCCAGTTCGTTCAGTCTGTTCAGCCCGTTCAGCCTAATATTTTATAAAAAGGACCTCCGTGTGTGTGGGAAAACAAGTATAAAAAGTGAGTAAAAGAATTTAAATAAAAAACTTAAACTCTAACTACTTTCGATTAATTTTTCTCTAATTTTTAGTTCATTTCTTTCCTTATTCTTTCCTTTTCTAGTTTCGCGTACGGTTTTTCTTTTTTTTTTTAGATAGTTACACTCGATTGCCAAGCGTGTGGTCGGGTGCATATTAGATAGGCTCCCTTTACGTTATTTTATTGCCAAGAGTGTGGTAAAATAACGCAAAGCATTACTATATTGCCAAGCGTGTGGTATGGTAAAGCTTTAATCCTCCGTCGCCGAAAAGAGAATTTCCCACGATAGTGGCAACGCACGTCCCGGTTATTGTCCGAAAGGATAGACCAAAAAGTGCGCCTGAGAATTGTCTCATCAACCGACGTTACACTAGTCATCATGTTATTACAAAATTCCACATGACGTTGAAAAATATTTTCGTTTAACTTATCATTCATAACTTATGAACCAGTCTTACTTTATAAGACTGACGTTGATTGATTTCAAGCACAGATATAGAAATTCTATCAAAATATTGTACAATTGTTTTAATACTTAAATAAGGGTTTTCGGTAAATTTATAACGCGAGAGACGATGTAAAAGCCGTTGCTAGTTTCTTTGCTCAGATTTGTTATGAATAGATTACTTGTGGTGTGCTCGAAATGCGTGAATACGCACTAGATATAAAGATCGTCTTGAGCTACAAAAAGAAGATTTTAAGAAAGAAAAATTTAAAAACAATATTAAAAATTAAAATTCTTAAAAAGATCATAAGTCAAGCAACGAAAGATCATGATAGAAAAGCAAATAAAAATATATTCTATGAAAATTAATTTACGATATAACAGGTAAAATTAATAAAAACAACAATAACACGAGCCATATTGATATCATTCCAATAAAAAATAACAGATCCTCAAAAAATTACTAAACATTTCAATGAGTACTTGTACAATATAGGTAAACGTTGAGGAATAAAATTCAAGTAATATTTAAGTAAATAACGATATACAACATTCAACTATAAATAAGATGAACTTACTTTACCAAAGTATTACTTTACCAAAGAATTCATTATTTTTAAATAAATATATTATGATCTCTAACGAAAAGTTTGGATTTAGAAAAAATAAAGATACCAATGATGCTCTTTATCATGTAACTTTATATACATA